GTGTGTGTGTGTGTGTGTGTGTGTGTGTGTGTGTGTGTGTGTGTGTGTGTGTGTGTGTGTGTGTGTGTGTGTGTGCTGGTGGCAGATGTGGCGCAGTTATTGTGTATATCCAAGCTTCAACTAACTGGGTATAGATGCATTCTCTGTAGAGTTCTATGTTTTCTTGAGCCATACAGGTAAATAAATCCTGGATAATTATATGTAGTTATGGTCCTGCCTTACCAATGATATCAACTTATCATCAGCTAGATAAATGACATCAAAGTAACAGTCAAATCCAAGATGGCCGCCAGTCCGCTGTGTTTAATGTCCACGTCTTTTTTAATTTTGGAACCAAACAATGTAGAAAATAATTTAAGGTGTCATTTCCAACTGAATTGGACAAGGTAGACATTTAACAAAAAATAAGCTCAGGTCAGGGTGGCTCTTCCACCAAGTCAGTAACACCTCTGCCATCAGCCTACACAATTGTGCCACCAGCAGCCCTAAAGACAAAGGTCTTCAGTGCACCGGCTGTACAAGGTCCTGTGAGACCTCCCAACCTCCTGACTGCTGCAGCTGCCAAAGAAGATATGTATGCATGGCTCAGCAAAGTCAAGACAGCTGTTGAAAAGTCCACCATGGATGGCTGGATATCGTGGTCTGCCTACCACGCTGATGCGCACCAAGCTGTCATCCCACCTGCAGCAATAACCGCACTATTACCACTGTTTCTTGACAATGCACACTCAGTGGCAATGATACGTCACTCCATGGACATCGTCAAGGCAGCAGTTCAGCACGTGAACCCTGGTCAGATTCCTGTCCTTGCAGCTGACCAACCACTGTATGCTCTTGCTAAGGAAGTCCAGTGGACCTGGCCAGCCACTTATGGAGAGGACCACTTTGTGATCATGTTCGATGGTCTACACATTGAGATGGCCATGTTGAAGTTGCTGGGAGACTGGCTGGAAGACAGTGGCTGGACGAACACCCTGGTACAGGCTGACATTGCAAGTTCCGGAAAAGCAAATTCCTTCATACATGCCAGCCATGTCAACAAGACCCGCCATGCACACCAGCTCACAGCTGCAAGCCTTTATACACTCCTCCAACAAGCTTACAGTGAAGACTGCACACCTGATGACTCTAATGCCATGCAACCTGATAGTCCGCCTTTTGAGGAGTGGTGCATACAGCGAGCAAAGGCCAGTGTCCACTTTGACTACTGGCTAAAGACCCTGTCATTGGAGCTTCTCTTGCTGCGGTACATCAGGTCACTTCGTGAAGGTAACTTCCAGCTGTACGTGGAATCCCTGACACAGATCATGCCCTGGATGTTTGCCCTAGATCACACACACTACTCCAGATGGCTTTCTGTACACATCCGTGACATGATGACTCTCGCTGAAAAACCTCCACATGTCCTAGCAGAATTCAAGTCTGGACATTTTGTGGTGCACAAAACCAGCAACAAGTTCTCTGCCATGGCACTCGACCAGTGCCATGAGCAGAACAATGCAATGGTGAAAGGTTCTGGTGGGGCTATTGGACTGACTGGCAATCCAGGAGCACTTAGACGCTGGATGGTAGCAGGGCCAGAAATGTCCAGGATCACTACAGAGTTTGAGCAACAGCATAGTGCTAGTGACACTGGGCACCGTCATCACGACCAGCAACCTGGCGTACAAGCAGCATTTCTGAAGGAAGTTAAAGCACTTGTGACAGTGCTGGAAGAGATGGGAAATCCATTCCTAGAACACAGCCAAGATTTACTAATCATGGACACAAGGGACATCATGGACATCAAAGTGGCTGAAACTGTGAGAAGGATCGAGACCCTTGGTGAGGAGCAGTACACCACGTTTGTGAAAGAGAGGCTAGAACAGTGTACAACACCTGTCACACAAACACTTCCAAAGAACAAGTTGCCACTGTTCAGTAGGCCACCGGTCAAGAGTAAGTCGAAACAAAAGGCACAGCTTTCAGCACTGAAGAGTGACTGTGGTCTCTTTTCGAGGCTGTACATCTCCTGTCAAACATGAGATGGAGACATCGACAATTTCTTCTCCCATGAAAACCAGGGATCCCCACCAGCTCTGTCAACTGGAGGCAAAATTCGGATTGGGGTTAAAGCAGATCTACTTCGCTGCCTAGAATCAGATCTGCTTGAAAACAGTAGTGTAACAGTAGTAGTGTAGTGGCTGATGCAACCATTTTCGATAGTGCAGCTGTGGTTCAAATGTTAAATCCTGGAACATCAAGAACATTTCAAGAGTATGGAGATAGAGTGTTTGCACCATACATCTCTGCTCAACTTGAGAAAAGCAGCCGCATTGACCTTGTCTGGGATGTATATGTATGTACCTGCCAGCCTGAAAGCCTCAACCAGACAAAAGAGGGGAAAGGGCATCAGGAAAAGGGTGGCTCCTTCTACTGTGATGCCAAAGAACTGGAAGGACTTTCTTCGATGCGATGAGAACAAAACCGATTTGTTTGCTTTCCTGTCTCGCAGAGTTGTTCATCTTCCTCTCGCAGAGGGCAAGGAACTGTATGCAACAGATGGAAGTGGAGTCCTCTGCTCTCCTGCTGAGTCTTACTTAGCCTGCCTTGCCGCGTGTTCTCAAGAGGAGGCCGACACTCGTCTACTTCTGCATGTGGCAGATGATGTGCAAAAGGGGTGTAAGAAGGTGACCATACGTACAGTTGATACCGATGTGGTGGTACTGGCTGTGGCTTCATTCAGCAAAATAGCTCCTGATGAGCTGTGGGTTGCCTTTGGTGTTGGATCAAGCTTTCACTACATAGCTGTTCATGAAATTGTTGCCACAATGAATCCAACAAAGTGTCTGACTCTCCCAGTCCTTCACGCTTTCACCGGGTGTGACACCGTCTCTGCCTTCGCTGGCAGAGGGAAGAAGACTGCCTGGGAAACGTGGAAGTCTTTCCCAGAGGTGACTGGTGCTTTCAATGAACTCCTATGCATGCAAAGTGAGGTCAGTGAAGGATCAATGTTACTGCTGGAGTGATTTGTGGTGCTGATGTACGACCGAACCAGTGAGAGCATGGAGGTGAATGATGCCAGGAAACAGCTCTTCACACAGAAGTCTAGATCTCTAGAGAACATTCCTCCAACCCAGGCAGCACTGAAGCAGCACATCAAGCACACTTGCTACCAGGCCAACTGTTGGAACCAGGTATTGGTCCTGGATCCAGAGATGCCAGAGCCGTCTGACTGGGGCTGGACAGAGGAAACAACTAGGTGGCAGCCACTTTGGACCACTCTACCTGAAGCATCAAAATCGTGCCATGAATTGATCCACTGTCGCTGCCAGAAAGGGTGCGCTGGACGATGCAAGTGTGCCAAAGCTGCACTGAAGTGCACTGCACTATGTTTCTGTTCTGGAGACTGTTAGATTTAGATCTGTATTATTATCATCATTAAAATAGACTAGCACCATGGGTCTATTATTTTGTATTATTATCCCTATAGTTTCAAAATTGAAGCACATTTCACTATATTGCATAGGTCGAATCCAAAAGTTTTTAATGTAATTTGACCTTGTCCTTGATCTAAATTAATTGTCTTTAATTCTGGCGATCTCAAAAGTATCATCAGATGAATGGGCATCCCCAATTTAGGTGGAAATGACACATTAAATGACACATTATTTTCTACATTGTTTGGTTGCAACATTTAAAAAAACGTGGACATTAAACACAGAGGACTGGCGGCCATCTTGGATTTGACTGTTACTTTGATGTCATGTATCTAGCTGATAAGTTGACACACACACACACACACACACACACACACTAAATAATTTGCAATTTTGCAAATTTCAACTGATTGACAGCTTATCTTTGGTCAATTTCTACCTTTATCTTCACCTAAATACATTGGGCATCCCTCATTTAGTTGGATATGACACCTTAAATGTTTGTCTACAATGTTTGGTTCCAAAATTAAGCGTGTTTGAACATTTGACCCAAGAGACTGGCGGCCATCTTGGATTTGACCTCTCACGGTCCTCACAGGTCAAATCTGACTTCCCTCCACATCTGAAAATAAACCTTATGGTATGCACTAACTATGCTAGAAATGTTATACTTTTCTCATAAAATGCACAATTGTTATAATATGAGAGCTTATCCGCTGCACTATAATACAACAATGAATGTAGGAACACTTTGTTACAAGTAAGCATTTCAAATCCTACTTGAGTAAAAGTAATCAGATATTAGCTGTCAAATGTACTTGACACAAGTAAAAGTACAGTAGGCCTACTGGAGTAAATGTTCTTAATTACTTTCAACACTGCACATTGTTTTTACAATGTGAACGATCCACTTAATATAAACCTTTAACAAAATGTCTTAAAATGCTATTCAAATAATGGAAACTGAAACACTTAAAACTGATATCTTTGATGGAAAATGCCTTTTCATCTTCACTTGGTTTGTCTGTAACACAATATTCATTTTTATTCCCAAAATGATTACAAGGTTACATTTGTCTGTATTTTATTTGTGATTATTCTTTATTTTTGCTAAAAATGCTAAAAAGATGCTAAAAAGAAAGAAAGAAAGCACCAGTGGTGCAGAATGTTGCAGAATATAACCATATGGATATTTCCTGCTTCTTCTTTCAACATGCAGATGCAGCTCCTGTTCATCTACTCATTTATGAAGTAGCATAGAACTATAAACTCTCCCCTCTTTAATTATACACTCTTGTACTCCTGAGATATTATGGTACCTTGACAATATATTTTGTACAGCATTATGCAAATATTTGAAACCTGTCTAAAGACTAATGAATTGTTGCCTTGTGTGTGCGCCTGTCTCTTTTCATTTAGCATGCAACTACATTTTTTGTAAATGTTCACAAAAAATATATATATACTGATTTGGAAATACTGAATCCTTCATGTTATATCAGAAGTCAAATGGAAAACACTCATGCACAAATATGTATACACTTTTCAGTATTACACAATACAATTGAGCATCAAATAAAGTAAAGGTGACATTAAGGTAATGTCTTTTCACTGGAGTTTATTGACAGAAACCACGGGATGAAGCGTGCTTTGGAAGCAGATCACTGAAGAGCACAAACACTAAATCATTGACCTGTTCTGACAGAAAGTCAATCAGTGACTGAGGGCTTTAAAATGATACCATCCCAATGTTCCTAATATATGACAGCAATGGGCATCCTTCAGACATAAACACCAACACCAGCTGTACTGCAACACGGTTTGCAAACTGTACAAATATATCTGTGTGACATATACCTTAAACCCAACAGATATTTAAATTGCTCAGTTTAGACTGAATATTTTATTTCATTATTTCCTTACATGAAGAACTAGCTGCTAAAAAAAGAATCCCAGAAAACAACTGAAAGTGACATTAGTGTCCCCTGGTTCCAAATGAATACAACGCGTTGTTAATGTTTGCCAGTCATCACATAAAACACCTGCATGAAGCAGGTTTTATGTCATTGGCCCCATTATATTGTTTACAAAATAAACAAAACTCACAGCCAAAAAACCAAATCAATAACGTGTTGAACCTTCAAACCTTGAACATTGTGATGGACACTAATTCATCTTTTAATTAATATAATGATACAATGTCCAAACACACTTTATATGTCCAGATAAAACCACTCACAAATGATGCCGTATCACATCTGTAAATACATTTTAAATGTACAGGAATTACAAAGATATGTCCAGGACAGTTTCACCCACACTGCACACGTTACACAGATTTCTGATCAAGATTAGATGACCTCTCTAAAAGCTAGCATGACGAGTAAATTAAACATTTGACTATAGACTGAATATCACTGTGTGGCGTGTACTAAGCATTGGTATGATCTGATACATAATGTTTGGAGGGACCCTAAACACATCATCAAAAACTAACACCACACAGCTTCCATGTGAAATCATACAGAGACTACAAAGGCATGGTGATCAATTCTCTAACTACACAGTCAACCCAAAAGCAAAATGTACTTTTTGTCCACTGCCTTGAGACATTTTTATTTTCAAATTGTCTTTTGCCTGGTGAGTGATGCTAATCTGCTAGCCACTTGCATATGTGACCAACATTTGGTTGGTAAAGGGATTTATAGTAACACCAGAAGCCAAATTGTATTTTAAATGTCAATTCAAATGTCTTTCCACTGATGGGCAGGTATGTAAGGCTGGATTTGGGAAACTGAATCATGTAAACATTAACAAACAATTGGAGAGCCATGTTGATGCGTATATGCCTAAAGTCTGAGATACCAATTTAATTTATTTGAGCTCTACATAATTAAACATTTAAGTCTCGATAACAACACTACATCTGATATCTGGAGATAACAGTAGATTAAAGCCACAATGTGAAGAATGTGATGTTACACAGCGATGCATGGAGCCATACCCAAGGAGATAAACAGCTAAACATATTCCACTAAAAACTGCTGCAGTCTCATTTGTTTCTAGAAACAACTGAACCTGGTTCCAGAACTGTGACTGACTGCTAGCATCGGCCATTTGTTACGAGACTCAAACAGGTCTGGTGTGGTACAGGATGAATCCTAAAACTCGGAAATGTGTCAATATTTTTAGCACTTCCACTTCAATTGTCTCAAAGTACGTTTTTTTGGTTACCTCAAATTGTTATCTCAAAAAAGGTCTGTGGTTAACGCAAGCTGAACAGATTTTCATGTTTTGTTCTATGACATAAAATACATCAGTAAATACCCCTGTCTACATTTCTCTACTTAACACTATCCCAGTGGACATTAGCAACCTTTAGCGTAGAGGTGATGTAGTGCAGTCATGTGACTGTCATTTAGTGTATTGCCTAGCTCTAGTTTTCTTATGGCCAGTTATTGCATTAACACTTAAAAACCAAAGTGGTGTTAATATGTGGAGATTATCCAAAATCAAATGCAAGGTAGCTCTTGCGATGCTATCTTCCAGTCCGGTCTACAAAAATAGGTCGTCACTGCACCACTGTATCGACAGCAGAACTACTGTATTTAAACGTTTCTGAATGTCTGGTGGTGGTTGGTGAATCTTTTGACGTAGCTTCCATAAACACATGGTGTTCTCTGTTAATCTTGCAGAGAGAGGTATACAAATGTTTCTTCCACAGTAACAAAAAAACCTGAACAAGGACCAACCAGACCTATTTCCATCCCAGAACAAATAGAAAATGTGCGCTGAGATGCAGGGGTCTGGAACAACAACACACATGGAGTACATGTCAAAGTGCAACATCACAATAAATACTGTCCCATGTTAGCGTGACAGGAAGACATTGGTTCACCCCAGTAACACATGTATTAATCGCACATTTATACTTCATATGCAAGTTGGTAAGGCTTGTTACATTCAAAACTCTAACAGGCATTCTGTATAGACTCATCAGTTACAAACATATACTTTTCAATAATGTTTAAGTGCTCAGAGAGGGACTGATTGGGGTTCATTGACATTCATAAATCATTATTGAGGGATATTTTTAGTATCTTTAAAGATGCACTAATCAATATTAAAACGGGATCATCTGACAACCTCATATTCATTAGTATGTAGAGTTTGCGGACGTCATGTAGTTCCAGCAAAGCTCCAAACACCTTAGTGTACATGAATTTAGAATCACTGAAAACACCTTTAACCTCAAATGGGTGTCCTTATGCAGAATTGAAAACGCTTATGACATTTGTACAGATTTAAACCGAAGAAACGTAAACAAATAAGAAAATTGTGAGTAGTGTTAAAATAATTAGTTTTGGAGCGGACCGAAAGACAAAACTGTAAACCTAGCGCAGACAAAACCAACGTAACGATCCAGTATGAGGAATGTAAGAGATGTGGGCTGAGTGAAGGAGAGTGTCAGTCCCACTGCAGGAGGGAAACATGTTGTAGACAAATGGCAGAGAAAGGTTCTGAAGGAGAAAGTCTGGAGGGCAGTAAGGAGGCAGGAGATCAGGAGACGGTGGACATTGAGAGCTATGTGAACCTGCTGAGCCCAGATACTCCTCATACTCCTCACACTCAGTCAGTCCAGCTTCTCCTTGTGAACCAGTTTAGGGGAGTCCACAAAGTCTTGGCCGTTAAACAGGATGATGGTGGCTGTGATGGCGCTGGCAGCCCCCCAGAACATCACGTAGGCCAGGGTCTCTGTCCATGTGTCGCCTGGGAGACAAATAACTCAGTTAGTCTGCTTACCAAAAACACAATCAGGGAAAAATCTTTAGCTGAAAACCCCAGGAAGTGTGCCGGGTGTTAAAGCACATTTTCTGAGAGACCCAATTGTGGTATTGCAACTTCCGTGTCTGTCACGTGATGTCATGGGGCCCAAACATATATTTTCCTGTAGACTTTGCCATTGAGAAAGGCACTTCTGTAAATGAGGTAAATTGACTTCACAGTCTGAACACTTGAATAACGCTTATTTAAAATCACAAGGGCATTAAGTTGTAAGTCATCTTTCTGATCAGGAAACATCAGATTCTAGCTTTAATCTTTAGGCGCGTTCACACCGGAGTACTTTTACCCGTACTTTTCCCGTTTAGTTCCGATAGTGCCTGGAATTTTGCGTTCACACCAAAATGAGTACTTAGTTCCGAGAACTTTTACCCCCATTTTTAGTGCCTGCTAGAGAGGTGGGACTATCCTGGGGAGAAAAAGTACCAATTTCGATTGGCTGGGCGGATTGCAAACCACGCCCCGTAAAACTCTGAAACGTTTTGTGAAGCCGTCATTGTATTTGCTGGCATTAGCATTATTAGCATTAGCATTAGCCCCGCGCACCAACGCAGAGAGACTAACTTATGGCAACACAAAATAAAACATGGGAGCGGTGGAGATGAGGAGGTGTCGGCGTTCTGGCGATTTACTCGGAAGGCTTCAGTAGAAGCTGCTGGGACTCCCAGCAGCTTCGACTGAAGCCAGTCCCCAACTCCGGGGACTTCGGGTGGCAGTATACGCCGTGAAGTGGTTTGCGGCCTGCCAGTAAACCCAAAGCAGAAGAAGAAGTGACGTCAGCGGCTTCATTTCAATCTTACCTCAGGGAACTTGAACGCGATCTGTACTTAGTTCCATGGAGGTACTAAGTGCTGGCACTAAGTACGGCAAAGTACTTGGTGTGAAAGCGGCTTTGGGGAGATCTTAGACAAAACTCAAGGTTATAGTAAAAAAAACGTAAACCTCTAGCAGCCAATCAGGTGCATCTGTCAAAAGTTCACCACCTCCAGGAACAGACTGATTCTTGCTGTACTACCCAAGCCCCAAGAAAGTGAGCCTGTAAGCAAGCCTGTATATCCCTCTCCATTCAGTTCACAAGCTGAGACCAGATGTGACGGAGCCAATTGGACCAGAGCTTCAAGAAAACACGAGTGTCCATGCTCGATGGATCTAGGTCGTTTTATGTAGAGGTGAGGCAAACATAATTGATGTTTACAGTTTGCACTTCACTTTGTTGGATTTGTTACTGTGACTGACTAAAATCAGTAAGATTCATGTCCAAAGCAGGCCTGTAGTTCTGCTGGTTTTTTCTTCACTTTTCAGATTTCATTTTATTTAGGTCATGGTGATGAAATGTTTACAAGGCTTTAAGTGAACAATTATAATATTCTATTGCGATTTAAAAGTTTTTATAATCCAATAGCTAAATAAAGATAAAGTTCATATCAATGTACACATCAACTAGTCAATAGTGTTTAGGTCAATAAATCACAAACTGCCTGCAGCTATAGTTGAATTGATTCAGATGCTATGAGTGAGAGGAACTTACCCGCCATGAGCAGACAGACGATGCACATGGAGAAGGCCACCAGCATGACGATGGGCAGCTGTAAGAGAGCAGGGATTAGAGGATAAGAACCAGTCATGTTCACTGCTGAAGAGAGTGAAAAGCTGATATACTGACCGTGAGGAACTTCCAGTCCTTCTGCACACGGAGAGGAGTGGGTCCATCAGACTCATCCACAGCAAAGTTACCCAGAAAGAGGTCAATGGAGTCCTGGAAGCAAAAACATCACGAGGGAACTGATCAACACAATGGCTTCTTTGAAATGGTGAATATGAAAGGTCTACCTCATTGCATTTCAATCAAGTTCAACTCATTAATTGTAGCTTGGATACGTATGCATTTAGTATCCTATGTTTATACAGTATATTTAGTTTTAGTAGTAGGTTGGTATATACACTGTATATATACTGTGAATGTGTAATTGTGTATATATTAGCGGTTTATTGTTTTACAATATATTTTATTATATCTTTAACTTGTATTATATAACACGATTTTATATGACATATATTTTTAATTTCTCAATTTGGGATCTTTAATTGTATCTAATCTGACTGTGTGTGTGTGTGTGTGTGTGTGTGTGTGTGTGTGTGTGTGTGTGTGTGTGTGTGTGTGTGTGTGTAAAAGTTTTCTTGAGCAGGTGCACCTTGTATGACAGCCTCTAGATCAGGGGTCTCCAACCTTTCTTCATCTGAGAGCTACTTTGAAAAAATGAAAGTGGCCAAGAGCTACTTGCATCACATCGCTTACATGTATTCACATAGCCCTCATCAGTTGAATTAAGCTACTTTTGTATACGTGTGAAATTGCAATACCTAAAGCTTATCAAACATCTTAACTTCACATCAAGGTCCAAGAAAACGACAATTTCTCACATATTATTATGGCCCACATAGTGAGTACTTCACTGAGAATTCACATAAATGTCCCTAATCACCACCTTACGAGCATTGTATGCACTTATGGTCAAATAAGTGCATACACTCTTTTTTACAGTTAGTGAGATGAATGGCGCTGCATGGAGTCCACCATACAGGTGTATGCTGGAGTGGACCCACTTAGGTTCACTCTAATAAAGTCATTTAAATGTTCATCAGTCAGTCTTGTTCTGTATTTAGATGTCATTCATGTCAGAAAAAGCTGCTTCACAAAGGTCTGTAGAGCCAAATAAAGCAGACTTGTTCAGTGCTGCTTGGTGATGTTCTTATAGTTTTCTGGGTCTACAAGGCTCCAGAAATGTTGTGAGTTTTGCTGAGACTTAAGCTGAACATGATTTTGGAGATTTATAACCTCCATCTCCATCTCCACAAGATTGACACTGAACAGTTCAGCCATCTTTTTCATCTTCTTCTTGGCATGAAATGAGAAACCATAATAAATCAATTGTATAGGTCTAGCCTGCCTATATCTGTGTGTGAAGTTGTTCCATCCTCAAAAACAAAAAACTAATGCTTCTGCAGTCTAGCTTCAGCTTCTAGCAACGGCCTTCTGTTAAAGAAAGGACACTGAATGTCCTGAATGTGGCATCACACACAGGACTTGAGTCTGAACACAGCAGACAACAGGAGTATTTACAATAGCATATACAAACAAAAATACTGCATGTGGGTGCACACTTACATTCTCTGTCTTACTGTTACATAAATCACATGAATGTATGAGACTAAGCTTCATCATATCTCAATCAGTGATTAAGTGAATAATAAAGTTTCTATCGGGTCACTATCAGCCTGTCACTCATTATTTTCAGGGAGGGGGCGGGGTTTGGAGGAACGGAGGAGACGGTGATCGCGGAAGCTTTCTTCCTGCCTTCACAAACTTTACACAAGTATTTATCAACTGAAAATAGCAAGAGGACATTCATACTTTGGAATCCAATACTTAATTAAATCCACCAAAAACCTGACATGATGATAACGAGTGTTTTTCAAAAACACAAATCCCTCCCTGTGTGTCTCTGAGCCGCAGCGACACGGACTGATTCAGAGCGGGCCATTCTGCTGTTGGTTCTGGACTGGTGTTGGTGGAGAAAGCAGACTGCTCCGTGTGTGGAGTCGCTGTGCCGCTGTCACGTCTGTTCCTTGATCTCTGCGTCACCGACCAATTTTATATTCGTGTGACAGAAACAATTCTAAAATAAAAAAACGTTATTGTCCAGCCGCGGCCGAAAAATCAAGAAGCAACCTTACTACGCTATAATCGATAATCGAGCGGCGAGCTACTGAAAAGCTGTGTTAGAGAGCCCTGCTCTAGATGAATGTGTGTGATAAGGTGAATGCTGACTTGTTTTGTGCAAAAGAGTCCTAAAGACTGGATAAAGTGCTTTATAAAAACAATACATTTAACATGTTACCGTCTGGCTGTAGCTACCTGAATTCCCCGAGGACAACTGGTCGAGGAGGAGGAATAGCGATTGTTTATGAGTCAAACTTTTATTGTAAACAGTTGCCGGCCTCGTTCCCTAGTTTTGAACTGAACTCATTTGAGTTGGGCCGCTCTGATCCGGTCCTGTGTGCAGTGATGTACCGTCCCCCAAAGAACAACAAGGACTTTATCAACGATTTGTCCGATTTCCTGACCTGCATTATGCATACGACCGGGTTCTTATCTTGGGGGATTTAAACATACATGTTTGCTGTCCTAACAAACCGTTGGCTCGAGAATTTTTAAATCTTATTGATGAGTTTAATCTTGTTCAATCGGTTTCTGGCCCCACGGACGAACACGGGCATACTCTTGATCTTGTCCTGTCTTATGGTCTATCAATATGTAACGTTGAGATATGCGACCCAATCTTCTCCGATCACATGCCTGTTCTATTTGACGTCACTATCCCTTGTGTTGTTGGTAAACAGTGTCCACAGTCTGCTCATTTTCGTCGCATGCTTAAACCCTCCACCGCTGTTCAGTTTTCTGCTGCCTTCAAAAATGTTGTGGATGACAGAGCATATCCTATTACTGGTGATACAGAGGAGTTACTTTCTTTCTTTAACTCCTCTTGTCCAGACATCCTAGATACTATTGCTCCACTAAAAGCTGTTCGCCCTAAAGTTAAGTCTGAACCATGGTTAAATGAGTCCACTCGTACTGCCAGACAGGAGTGCAGAAGGGCTGATCGCAAATGGAAAAAAGACAGGCTTATGATATCTTAAAGGGCTCCTGGTGTAGATATCAGAAAGTTGTCAAAGCGGAAAAAACACAGTATTTTTCAGATGTTATACGTAATAACTGTCATAAACCCTGTGTTCTTTTTTGCACTATAAACTGTATAATGTCCCACAATCCATCAACTTAGTAACCTCCACTGAAACCTGTGAGGTGTTTCTACAGTTTTTTTATTGACAAGGTCGCCGCCATCAGAGCAAACATCTCACTTCCTTCCCATGATCCATCTGTCATGGATACTTGCTCAGCTGTTATGGATCAGTTTGAGCTTGTGTCACTTCCTGCTCTAATAGAAATTGTTGCTCAATTGAAACCCTCGGGTTCTCCAAGCGATGTTGTCCCTGCGCGATTTTTTAAAGAAATCTGGGACATTGTTGGAATTGCAGCCTGACTCCAGGAATAGTACCAAAGTGCCTAAAACATGCTGTGGTCCAGCCTTTGATTAAAAAACCAAACCTAGACACCTCTGTTTTTGACAATTTTCGACATATCTCTAAACTTCCTTTTATGTCCAACATTTTAGATCAAGTGGTCCTGAAGCAGTTGCAGTCTTTCTTAAATGTGCATGGCATTCTTGAGGTATTCCAGTCTGGGTTTAAACCCCTCCACAGCACTGAATCTGCTCTTTTAAACGTGTTTAATGACCTGTTTTTAGCTACTGACTCTGGGAACAGTTCTTATACTTTTAGACCCGACAGCTGCCTTTGACACTGTAGATCACAGTATTCTCATTTCTCGCCTGCAACATTTTGTGGGAATCAGTGGTACTGCTCTAGACTGGTTTAAGTCGTATCTGTCTGAAAGAAGTTTTAATGTAAATCTTAATGAATGTACTTCCTCCTCTGCTCCTCTCCCATACGGGGTACCCCAAGGCTCCATTCTTGGGCCGATTTTATTTTCCCTGTACCTGCTCCCCCTGGGCGCTATCATTAAAAAATATAGTGTCTCATTTCATTTGTATGCAGATGACTCTCAAATCTACATGCCCCTGAAAATAAATGACCCAAACCCTCAGCAAGCCCGTCTGACTGTCTGCAGGACATCAGAGCCTGGATGGCCTTGCACTTTTTAAAATTCAATGAAAAACAGACAGAGGTGATAATATTTGGACCCAGTGGTGGCCCCAATGCCGCCTGGGCTGGATTCTCTTGTCCCATGTGTGAAACCCATTGTCACAAACATGGGTGTACGGATTGATCGTGATTTTAAACTAGACAAACAGATTAACTCTGTGGTCAAATCCAGCTTCTTTCAGCTAAGACTTTTAGAAAAGGTCAAGCCTTTCCTTTCTTTTAATGACTTTGAGAAAGTAATACATTGTTTTATATCCACTAAACTGGATTACTGCAATGCTCTGTACATTGGAGTAACCAAGGCTTCCCTGTCATGCCTACAGCTGGTCCAGAATGGTGCTGCACGCCTCCTTACAAGGACAGGCAGGCGTGAACATATTACGCTTGTACTCGCCTCTGGTTACCAGTCAGTTTTAGAATACAATTTAAAATGTTACTGTACGCATACAAGGCCCTAAACGGTTTAGCCCCACCGTACCTGGCAGATCTTTTAAAACCATACACACCCACACGGTCACTGAGGTCTGCTGACAGACTCCTTCTGGTCGTCCCTAAATCGAGGTTCAAGCAGCGAGGAGACAGAGCCGTTGCAGCTCCAAAGTTATGGAACAAATTGCCCCTCCAGGTTAGACTTGCTCCAACTCTGCCTGTTTTTAAAACCCACTTCTTTTCCCTGGCTTTTACAGACCAGGTGACACTTGTGCTTTTACATTTGGGTTTTTATCTTACTAGTGTTATGTATTGTGTTTACGTCATGGAGGAGAGTTTCTCAGTCTGTGGCTTCTGATCTGGTTTCAGTGTCTCGTGTTTTACATTTGTTTCATGTCCTGTCTGTTTTTCATGTATTTATGCTATGTTTTTATACACTTGTTGATGTACAGCACTTTGTTCAACTCTGTTGTTTTTAAATGTGCTATAGAAATCAAATGGATTGGATTGGATTGAGTCTAATTTAATCTCATTCAATGGCAAATTCAAGGACGTTTGTATTAGTTCAGTCTACTACAAATGTTTGGACAATATGATTTAAACAACGGAGCTTTCATCACACCTGTCTGAATCCATCGGAGAAGTTGTTCTTGTAGTAGCGGATCATGGAGTTCCAGCCGTCCATCAGCAGCCCCAGCCTGGTCCTCTTCCCCGTCCTGATGGAAACATGAAGTTTGATTGGGCCCAGTCATGACACCAGCCTCCAGAGAGCCAGCACATGTTAGTGAGCCGTGTGCTGCAGGGTTACTGTACCTGGTGAAGTCTGTTTTCAGAGCTCCGGTCCCTGCGTACTGGACAGCGCATGCATTGGCATTGTCAGCCCATGCTGGTTAGAGAGCACACACAGAGAACAGTGAGCACACTCACAGGCTTCAGATCATCAAACAACACACACACTCACAAGACATTACCGTTCTTGTAGATCTTCTCAAACTCAGCCTGCTCCTCAATCCGCTGACCCACATTCAGGACGCCCATCCTCTGCACACACACAAAACACACACGGGTCAATATGATGTGAGCAGGAGGTTGTCACCAAAATGACATGAGTGTATATATGGAATATATTACATGTACTCCCAAATTTAAACTTATATGAAATCTGTAGAATATGACTAAAAAAAGACACCGGAATAGGCTTATATATGCCAATGCTAAATTCCTAAATAAAAATTAAGGCACCCTGCAGAAGAGAAGAAAAAAAGAACGATCACTCACTCTTATAACCCTTAAGAATAGCATCTATACCTTTGCTCAATATCTTTGATTGACATAATGCACCATATTTTGACTACCGTCTGCAGGCTTGCAACATTTTAAACAAATCAGACCCTTCTTAACTGTCAGTGCTGCAAAGTCATACCTCCACTGTGTGATTCTATCCCACATTGAATACTGTTTGACAAACTGGTCGTTTGCTTGTGCCACAACCAGTCTTGGATTTTCGTCATTTTAGGGGCAAGGCCATTTGGCCTTTGGTGTCACACGTTTCTTCAGGGCGCAGAGGCCACATGCCAGGGCACAAAGGCCATTGAGGGAAACATTTGGAGCTTACCAATAAATAACTTATATAATAACATAAGTTAAAAATAACCCACTTTCTGATACGAAAAACACACGAATGACATGGAAAACAAATCACTTTTTTAATATCAATAATGTCAAACATTATATCATCATATAGGCCTATGCCTCCTTAGTATTACCGTTTATAAAATGAAATACTTTGAATGATTAGTGGTTGGTATTTTTTCCATCTACTACTTCTCCCATTCACAAATCTGAAATCAAATCAAAAAATCTAAAATTATATTAATATGTAACAAATATATTCAATTTCAGAGCAGAATAAACAGGCTTCAAGGGTCAAACTCTGCACATACATCATTCAGCAGTGCATCAACTCCTCACAGCTCTTCATATCTGTTCAGAAACTAGACAAAAGTTAAACATGTACAAACCACAGACTGTCTGTGTAATGGCGAATACAGTCGCTGCTTTAATGTTGTCTTTAGGACGTTGTTGTGAGTTTGGACGGAGCAGATACAGGTTAGTTTCTGATCTGATCGAATGGAACACGCATTTTAAAAGTTTTTCGCCTGCCGTCTTGTCTGCACACAATGTCTTGAGTTTTGACCATTTTAAGTCTTTTAAAAGTATGTGTTTTTTTAATAAATGTTTACATGGACAGCCCCCCCCCCCCTTAGGGGAATTCATCCACAGAAAACACACTGGACGCTGCACTAGGTCATAAACCAGAGGAGACTGAAGTCCACCGCAGACGGACCACTTTTGGACGCCATGTCCTCTAATTAAAGGCAGCTCTTTGTGGAACAGCCTCCCAACTGAGATACGGGATTGTCCCACTCTCAATAGCTTTAAAGGTCAACTCAAAGAATGGATGAGAAACAAACAGATGTGCAATCACCGCTAAATGCACTTTAACACAGGGGTATCTCCTCCTGCACTTTAGGTAGCTCTTTTGTCTTCTCTTGCACTTTATATGTTGTAGCTGCTATATTGTACCTCCATGTTATAAATACTTGTGTGCTGCTCTTGCTCTTTTGCACTTTTTGCATATCATGTATTTTGTTTTTGCTATGTTTGTCAAATGTAATTTTCTTAAATGTTTTATGTGAGGGACTGCGGGTGGAAATGAGCACAAAGCTACATCTTGCACTGTTATGCTTGACACATTTTAATGTTTTAAGTGTTCATGTGCATTGTCCCTGCCAAATAAACCATGAAATGAAAATGAAATGGGGAGTAACGGATTACATGTATCGTAATCAGGATACAAAAACGGTAACCGTGTTCCCTTACCCCCTAATCCCACCAGGAGCGTCTGCGCTGCGTTGCGCTGCATTGCGGCTGCGGCGTTTTTAGCGATCGCGGCCACTCTAGTCAATGGGTGCTATTCCACCAGACCCGCTGGTGGAATAGCACCAGCGGGTCTTATATATTATATAGCTATATTATATATAGCTTTGAGCGCCGCCGCTCAAAGCGTCCCAGAAGCTCCTCGCCGCAAGGAATTTCTAAAATATAGGATGAATCCTATTTTTGACGCGGCGCAGCGCGGCGCAGGCAGGAAGTGGAACGTTCATCCAACAACTGCGAGGCTGCACACACGACGCTCCGCTTCCGCAACGTTTTGAAACGCGCCTGGTGGGTTATGATGCAGGAGGAGGTCGCAGCGCGGCGCAGCCGCAGCGCAGACGCTTCCGGTGGGATCAGGGGGTCACAGTTACATAAAAAATATGTAATCAGATTACTGTTACATATCTAAATATAGTTAATAACTAGGATTACAGTGTCCTAAAAAGAGCATCTAGTGTTTGATGTAAAGGATCAGATGTTCTCTCTTCTCTTAGAGCTGTACTGTTCTGTAGGATAATACTTTCAGTGTGAGTCTATACTTCTACTGCCTGAATCTGCTTCATGGTTTTCACTTTCTTTGTTCATTTGCTCTGTTTTTAATTCAGCAGGTGAACCTGAATGTTCATAAAATAATGTGTGTGAGCTTAACTGTGTGTGTTAAAGTAAAACAGAGCATTTTCTGTCAGCTCAGGTTTTATTTCAGCTTTTTTAACCTGTAGTATGTGCTCAAGTGTTTCAGTGTTGGTGTATAGCAGAGGTCGGCAACAGGCGGAGCACGGTCCGGCTCCGGACCCAGACGCCGACCTATACATTAATAGGGGATTTCAATTCAATTTTGACGGGGCGATTCTATTTTAACCGCCGCCGACAGGGGGCGAAAGAGACGAGTGAGCGATACAGGGAGAGAAACACAGAAGAAGAGAGGAGAGAGCGATACAGGGAGAGAAACACAGAAGAAGAGACGAGAGAGCGATACAGGGAGAGAAACACAGAAGAAGAGATGAGTGAGCGATACAGGGAGAGAAACACAGAAGAAGAGACGAGTGAGCGATACAGGGAGAGAAACACAGAAGAAGAGAGGAGAGAGCGATACAGGGAGAGAAACACAGAAGAAGAGACGAGAGAGCGATACAGGGAGAGAAACACAGAAGAAGAGATGAGTGAGCGATACAGGGAGAGAAACACAGAAGAAGAGACGAGTGAGCGATACAGGGAGAGAAACACAGAAGAAGAGACGAGTGAGCGATACAGGGAGAGAAACACAGAAGAAGAGACGAGTGAGCGATACAGGGAGAGAAACACAGAAGAAGAGACGAGTGAGCGATACAGGGAGAGAAACACAGAAGAAGAGACGAGTGAGCGATACAGGGAGAGAAACACAGAAGAAGAGACGAGTGAGCGATACAGGGAGAGAAACACAGAAGAAGAGACGAGTGAGCGATACAGGGAGAGAAACACAGAAGAAGAGACGAGTGAGCGATACAGGGAGAGAAACACAGAAGAAGAGACGAGTGAGCGATACAGGGAGAGAAACACAGAAGAAGAGAGGAGAGCGTGGCAGAGAGGAAAGTGAGTGAAGAGAATAATTAGCGATAGCGAGAGAAGCGGAGCGGAGAGTGAACAGGCGTGTTAGCGGCAGACAGGGAGAGACAAATAATTTCACATGGCGCTCTCCAAGAAGAGGAAAGTGGACAGTGAGAACAGAGCTTTGAACCCTGAGTGGACTCATTCATGTTCATCCTGCCCTCTGGGAGCACAGAGCCAGTGTGTCTCATTTGTTCAGAGACTGTGGCGCTCATTAAAAGTGCCAAAACGCCACTATGAGACAAAACACAAAGTGTTTGACCAAACATTCCCTCAAGTCAGAACTGAGCATAGGCGTATTTTGCGGGGGGGGGCATTGCCCCCCCTGGTGGCTGAAATATGTTACTGCATTACTAAGTCTAAAACTGTTCCAATACAAATATTTCGTATATCAATATTTTAATAGATGTAATAAAATGATTGTTACAATACAAATCTGAATAATATCATGTTTTGTTTGAAATAATTTCATTTTTGAGCAGTCGCATGTTGTGACGTTTGTGTGTGTGTGACGTGTGAGGTTAAGGACACAAGTTCCCTCGCTTTTTTTTGTATACAAGTGATTCAGCTATTGTATTACAAGAATTAGCAGTAATGGATATTCAGCGATTTTTAAAACGTCCAATTTCGTCTTGTAAAAGCTTCAACAACAGAAGAGCCACCGACTGAGCCTAACCTTACCAACCAGCAGCCGTCAGAATGTGAAGTGGCAGACACACAAACAAGCAGCTCTGGATTAGCTAAACCAGATAACGTTAGCCCCACAGCGGAGAGCTCTGGATTAGCAGGACCAGCTAACGTCATTAACCCCACAGCAGGGAGACCACCGGTGCCGGGGCCGTCAGTGGGTCATGATGATCTTGGGGAAAAACACAGCTGTCCCAAGCAGCCTACTTTATCCGAATTCCCCTCAAAAATGATTGGGAAAACAAAACGATAATTTTCCACGTACTATTACAAGAACTATCCCTGGCTGGAATATTCAGTACGAATGGATGCCGTCTTCTGTTTTTCATGCTGCAACTTCCAGACTGACAGCGGTGTGGAGGATTCCTTTAGAAAGGGCCTGAGTGACTGGAAAAAAACTAAGCAGCAAACTGGAGAAACATGCACACTCCCAGGCCCATCTGAACTGCATGGTTAAATGGGATAACTATAAAGTGACTGCGTCTTCTGGATCTATTGCAGCTAAACTTTCCCGAAGCCACGAAGATTCTGTTGAGAAGAACAGATCTTATTTGTGCAACATTTTTGATATTGAGAGGCTGTTGTCCAAACTCGGATTGCCTTTTCGTGGGCATCGGGAGGGAAGCGTGGGAATTTTCTTGAGGTTTGTGGCTTCTTCTCCAAGTATGATTCTGCTTTTAAAAACATGCAGTCCAACTATTTCAATGCGACTAGCCCAGATTTCCAGAACGAAGTCATTGACATATGCGCTAACTTAGTTTGTGCAGAAATTGTAGAGAAAGTGCAGGATACTGGATTTGTTTCTATAATTGCAGATGAGGCCAGGTCTTGCAAAACGGAACAATTATCAGTGTGTTTAAGATACGCAGAGCAGCTTGAAATCAAGGAGCGTTTTTTGTGTTTTATTGATTCATCCAAATGTATACAAGATGCTCCAGTTGGCACTGACTCTGCCTATCGGATCTGCCACCTCAGAGAGAAGTTTTTCTGCAATGAGGAGAATTCGGAACTGGCTGCGGGCAACGATGGGAGGAACAAGATTTTCCTCACTTGCTGTTCTTCACATTGAGGACGACATAACTGCACAGCTGTCACCTGAGGGGATAGTGGATATATATGCGGAACGTAAAAAAATGCGTCTACTTCTGCACTAAGGTAGGACACTGGTTAATAATATTGTAGCGTGTTCAAGTAACAAAGGGATATAGTAGTTATCAAATAAGTATAAGCTGTGCACAGTTATGATACGTTTTACAGTTATGTAATGCACTGTTGTTGGGGGGAGAGACCGCCCCTTCCATATGAGTGTGTGTGTACGGCGGGCATGAGGCGTGCATGACGGGACGAGTTGCGTTCGTATGTGGAAAAGTCATACTCAGTGCGGTGAACGCTGGCTTTATTGCTACTGTATCCGTAGCACCCCACGCAATAGTTGGGACTGTGTACTGACGTCAGTAAAAAAGGTTTGCCCCCCCAAGCGCAAATGTCAAACTCCGCCTATGGAACTGAGGTCACAAAAAATAAGCAGTCTCAGAGTCAGAGCCCAATATGATCAGTCCACCAGGATTAAATTAAATATGGTTCCAGGCAGAGCTGGCCCGACCCATTAAGCGACATAAGCGGCCGCTTAGGGCCCAGCAGCCACTAAAGGGCCCCCTAGCAAAAAAATTATTAATTAATTAATTGTTTAAATAATAATAAAAAAAGATCTCAGTACACCGTCGCCGTGTAAAGTATGTTTAATTAATTGTGTTAATATGCCTAGATTGCCTACTCTCAAAGTCATGTATTATATTATTGAGTCAAATAATACATTAACCGTGCTTTAACTGAACCTCATCATGACACAAGAGAGGACGGCATGATTGTAATTTCCCGTGTTCAGTGAATGCAACAGAGGCAAGACACCAGACCAACCAGAGAGTTGAATGGAAATAAACATCTGTCTTATTGGCTGACAGGTACCTATCCTGTGAGCTGTGACAATGTTTAAAATAAACTGTCAGTCGGACTCAGAGTTTTTGAAGATGGACATAAGAAAACATTTTCTTAAAAAAGACGACAATTCTCAAATGGTGGCTCACACAACAACCCCAGAGCCACCACCTGAGCCAGGTAAACAAGGTATGTAAATGTCAGTAAACTTCCAAGTTATGCGAACATGTATGCAAAGCATAAATTACAGCTACGTTGACGTTACTTTGAATCGCGGGGGTAAGCTAAACCGTTAGCAAGTAGCTATAGCCAGATATATTAAATAAACACTTTGTCATACAATCTAAATGTAATGTTTTTTAGCGTTACCTGGTGATTTCAAAGACAGCTCTCTGGGAAATGTTGACTTACTGTTCGACATGAAGCTAGAAGCTACCTTACAGTACACAGTTGATCCTGAGTCCTGTCAGTTAAAGTGTTTCATAGTTAGCTTAGCTAAGCATCAACCTAGCACTGAAATATATATATGGATGTTATGTGACAGTATTTCTGAGAAAAAGTCAGCTGAAATGGTGGCATAGTTGCCACTGCTTTACGTGTCAACATCATGTTTGAATGTATTTGCAGCAGTAAATGTGGCTGTTTGGTCACTGACGTTGCCATAACAACACCTGAATTTAAATGTGCAAACTCTTTTTGTGACAGATTTTTGCAAGAAATTATAATTCTTCTGAATGATATTCCTATTGACAGCTAGTTTCTATGTGAACATTATGAGATGGACAGCCAGAGAGAATAAATGAAAAACAGTTATGAAATACTATATGACAAAACAAGAATACAGTTTAAGTGATTTGTAAAATATCCATAAAGAAAAATCTGTTTACAGTTCTGTTTCATCTGGGTGTTGAGAGATGTATCCATAGATCTCTTTGCTCTCAAAGTGCACCAGATTGATGCTTTTAACTTCAATATTTTAAAACAAATCTTCCCGGGGGAGCATGCCCCCGGACCCCCCTAGAGGAGATGAGGACCCCCCTAGACGAGGTTAGGTCCACGGTGTTTACATGCTTATTTATACAATATGTGTGCTTATGCTAACATCATAAGACAAAAGTTGGTTCCGTGTTGTGTGGGGTGAGAATGCGCTAGAGTGAGGGCAGAGCTTTGGCCCCCAAGCCAAAGCTCGCTTAGGGCCCCCAAAAGTCTAGGGCCGGCCCTGGTTCCAGGGCAGGCTAACTGAGGCTAACCAATGAGCACCTGCATGTGTATGAGAATGGCACCATTTCAGCCCAGATTTACAAACTCCTGGCAGGACAAGCTCCAGCTCAATTCTCTCACTGAATTTAAACAAAGTGAGTGAGGGACTGCAATATAAGAGGGAAAGAAAGAGAAACTTTAAAACTGTTCAATTGTTATGATGTGTAAAGACTGATATTGTTCTATAATCGTCTGAAACTGTTAAGTCATGATATGAAACGGTTAACAAAGAAAAAGGGAAACTCAAGCTGCTGCTACACTTTATTTTATTTATCTAAAATTAAGCACTTTTAAGATATTTTCAAAAGCTATTTTATTTATTTTCTCTATTTTATTTTTAAATGCAGCCCGAGAGGAACATTACACATATCCACAGTATTTACTGTATATCTGTATAGTTCAATGGCAATAAATATTGTTGTTTTTGAATTGTACTTTCTTTATTTGATTGGCAGTCAGTTGTTGATTACATGCAGACGTTGATAAAGCTACAGGTCACTTCAATATATATCACACTAATTCATAAAGCAAGTTAGACATTTTGATGTTCCGGACCTTTGCATGGGGAGATTGTCTCTAACTGGACCTCGTTGAATTTTAGTTGAATACCCCTGGTGTACAGGCTGCTGTCTGAATCTGCTGAGTGAAAGGCAGCTTCTCATATCAATAAGATCATTTCTGATCCTAAATATCATGGTTTCTTCTTTCCAAGGTCACATTGTTCTGTTGTCTGACATGTTACACTAAAAAACAACTTATTGATATTTATTTTATTTTATTTATTTGCATTGATTTGATTTTGAAGTAACCCCAAAGTAATCAGGTTACATTACTATTATATTGGCATACTCAGATTAGGCTACCGCTTACATGTGTTACAGGTAACTAGTAACTGTAACAAATTACACTTTTAAAGTCACCCTCCTAACCCTGACAGTTTGAGATGAAAATGTAGTTGAATATATTGTGCCATGTTATCACAAAGTGAATTATTTGCTCTTATTTTAGTGAAAATAATATATAATAAATAAATATCATTTTACTGGTACTTCATTTTTTTACCATGCTGTACATTCTCAATTCTTATTAACATGCGTCTGCCTTTTAATAAAAAGTCTACTTGTTCACTGAAGCGTTGCTGCTGTAATGCCGTAAACTTCCCTAACTGTGGGACAAATAAAGGATTTGTGATTCGGATTGTGAATGAATGTGTGGGGTCAGACCCACCTGCAGCTGAGACTGCAGGGAGCGACGGGCCAGCAGGCTCTGGATCACGTTGGTGCGGTCCAGGCAGTCCATACAGTTGCTGCGGAACACTCCTCTCTGCTGGGCCACCGTCTTCCCCTCCGAGGTCACCATGAAGTAACTGCACACACAGAAACCATGGAATATAACTACACAGTATACGAGAGGAGACATCAGGCCGGAGCAGCGGCTGAACCTACCTGTATTCATCTTGTGTCTCAGCAACAAGGTCCACTAAGATCTGCAGACGCTCCCATCTCATGGCGCTGCACTCCTTGTGGAAGTCGAAGGCTATATAGCTGAGGACAGAGGAGACAGGGTCAAAGTGCTGTCCTCAGGTCACAACGGATGTCTACACTTTGTTTGATCGGGCAGCGCTTCATTGTTACAGAGGTGGCAGAAATAGATGCAGTTCCCAAGCAGAGCTAAATGTTAGATATAATGTATTTAATTAAAGGTCCCCTATTATACTGTTTTTCATCTATATATATTATAGCTCTCAGATCTATACAAAACATATCTCTGAAGTGTTTGTCTGAAACCCCAAACAGATCACTGCAGCATTACCCATAATCCCCTCTGTTTCACCCTGTTTCCAAAGTGCTGATTCTCTGGCTGCTTCTCAGGTCGATTAAATGAAATCCTTGCTTCCCTCACTTGCGTCGTTTCCCTGCCTCTAGTCCCTCCCACCAGGGAAGCATGGAGGGACGCAAGGAAACCACGAGAAGCAGGGAAATGAGTTTTAAGAGCAATGGGACGTCCTTTCCTCCGGAGCGTCACGTGAAGCGACGTCTGTTTGTGATGACGCTGCACAGCTGATCGTCTGACAGCAGCTCTGTCCCCGTTATTTCCACAAACACCCCCGCCTCTGTTAGTACACATTTACTGACACTAACATTTGTATCATCTGTTGTAGATCCCAATAAATAAAATAAAATAAGAACTAATTCTCAAAAAAGATAAACGCCATTCTTAAAATGTATAAACGAACATTAGTTTGATTAATATTGATTAGAGTGCACAATAGAAATAAAATAATTGAGAGAAGAAGAAGAGATATGTTATCTATCAAAACCCAGTTAGATTAACATTCATTGGATTGCACACTTTGTGTGTTTGTTTGGATATGTAGTCAATTAACATTGTAATAGCACTTAATGACTGACTGAATGTTAATGACAATAAATGAAAATGTAAAACGAAAAAAGCGATCATGAAAATGTTTCCAACAAATGAATAAAATGATTTTTGACCACTTTGTTGTTCAGATATATCACATATTTGTAACTAAATGAAACATGAATTGAAACAAAACACGGTATAAACTGAGGAGTGACTCTCGTGAGGTTCATGTATTTTCTTCACTCCGCTGGGAAACGGCTCTCATGTCAAGAAGCATCAGATCAGTGCATGCACTGCCTCGCCCAATCAGTGAGCGATACACAGTAAGGGGGCGGGGCGAGTATCTGAGGATTTCATCGGAGGATGGTCTGGTGGTTCCTCGGTTATCGATCCTCGCTCCTCGATCCTCGGTCCTCCGGCAGAAATAAGAGCCATGGGACGGTACTCAAGATGGCGCAGGCAAATCAACTTCCGGTGAGACCGAGGAGCGAGGAAATGAAAATAGTCGACCTGAGAAGCAGCCTCTGTCTGTTACTTTAGATGAAAATAAGAAGCCCCTCCCCACGCCCCTCTGAGAGACATTTGGTTTCAAAGAACTCAATGGTGCTCTAGGAGGAGATTCAGGTGATAAGGGGGGGGGGGGGGTTACCTTGGTTGCTGATTGGCTAATGGTTACACAAGACAACACATCGTTTATGACATCATAAAGTAGCCAAAATCTGATCAGCTCATTTTTCAGGACAGGGTTTTTATAGAAATTGATCACAAAGAAAGAGAATCTTTGTTCCTGAAACTTTCAGAGTCTCTTTCCACAGAGGGGACACATGTTGATGTAGAAGAGGACATGAAGAAGAGGCGGAGAGGGTACACATGTTGCGGTAGAAGAGACATTGAAGCAAGGAGGGGACACATGTTGATTGTAGATAGAGACATGAAGAAGAGGGGACACATGTTGATGTAGAAGAGACATGAAGAAGAGGGGACACATGTGATGTAGAAGAGACCATGAAGAAGAGGGGACACATGTTGAGTAGTAGAAGAGGACATGGAAGAAGAGTGGGACACATGTTGATGTAGAAGAAGACATGAAGAAGAGGGGACACATGTTGATGTAGAGAACATGAAAGAGGGGGACACATTTTGATGTAGAAGAGAACTGAGAGAGGGACACTGTTGATGTAGAAAGAGACATGAAAGAAGAGGGGCACACATGTTGATGTAGAAGAGACATGAAGAAGAAGGGACACCTGTGTTGTGATGTAGAAGAGACATGGTGCAAGCAAGAGGAGACACATGTGGATGTAGAAGAGTACATGAAAGAAGAGGGGACACATAGTTGAGTAGAGCATTGATAGAGAGGGGACCATGGTGATGTAGAGACCTGAGAGAGGGACACATGTTTGATGTAGAAGAGACATGAAGGAAGAGGTGGGACACCTGTTGATGTAGAAGAGACATGAAGAAGAGGGAGACACATGTTGATGTAGAAGAGACATGAAGAAGAGGGGACACATGTTGATGTAGAAGAGACATGAAGAAGAGGGGACACATGTTTGATGTAGAAGAGACATGAAGAAGAGGGGACACATGTTGATGTAGAAGAGACATGAAGAAGAGGGGACACATGTTGATGTAAGAAGAGACATGAAGAAGAGGGGACACATGTTGATGTAGAAGAGACATGAAGAAGAGGGGACACATGTTGATGTAGAAGAGACATGAAGAAGAGGGGGACACATGTTGATGTAGAAGAGACATGAAGAAGAGGGGACACATTGATGAAGAAGAGACATGGAGAAGAGGGGACACATGTTGATGTGAAGAGACATGAAGAAGAGGGGACACATGTTTATGTAGAAGAGACATGAAGAAGAGGGGACACATGTTGATGTAGAAAGAGACATGAAGAAGAGGGGACACATGTTGATGAAGAAGAGACTGGAGAAGAGGGGGACACATGTTGATGTAGAAGAGACATGAAGAAGAGGGGACACATGTTTGATGTAGAAGAGACATGAAGAAGAGGGAGGGACCCCATGTTGAATGTAGAAGAGACATGAAGAAGAGGGAGACACATGTTGAGGTCGAAGGAAACAGGAAGAAGAGAGACACAGTGTTGAATGTAGAAGAGAACATGAAGAAGAGGGGACACATGTTGATGTAGAAGAGACATGAAGAAGGAGGGAAGACACATGTTGATGTAAGAAGAGACAGAAGAAGAAGGGGACACATGTTTGATGTAGAAGAGACATGAAGAAGAGGGGGACACATGTGATGTAGAAGAGACATGAAGAAGAGGGGACACATGTTGATGTAGAAGAGACATGGAAGAAGAGGGGACACATGTTGATGTAGAAGAGACATGGAAGAAGAGGGACACATGTTGGATGTAAGAAGAGACATGACAGAAGAGGGGACACATGTTAGTGTAGAAGAGACACTGAAGAAGAGGATGGGACAACATGTTGAAGGTAAGAAGAGGACATGATAGAGAGGGGACACATGTTTTGAGTTGAAGAAGAGACATGGAGAAGAGGGGACACATGTTGATGTAGGAGAGACATGAAGAAGAGGGGACACATGTTGATGGAAGAAGAGACATGAAGAAGAGGGGACACATGTTGATGAAGAAGAGACATGGAGAAGAGGGACACATGTTGATGTAAGAAGAGACATGAAGAAGAGGGGGACACATGTTGATGTAGAGGAGACATGAAAGAAGAGGGGACACATGTTGATTAGAAGAGACATGGAGAAGAGGGGACACATGTTGATGTAGTAAGAGACATGAAGAAGAGGGGACACATGTTGATGTAGAAGAGACCATGAGAAGAGGGGACACATGTTGATGTGAAGAGACATTAAGAAGAGGGGACACATGTTGATGTAGAAGAGACATGAAGAAGAGGGGACACATGTTGATGTAAAAGAGACATGAAGAAGAGGGGACACATGTTGATGTGAAGAGACATGAAAGAAGAGAGGGGACACATGTTGATGTAGAAGAGACATGAAGAAGAGGGGACACATGTTGATGTTGAAGAGACATGAAGAAGAGGGGACACAATGTTGATGTAGAAGAGACATGAAGAAGAGGGGACACATGTTGATGTAGAAGAGACATAGAAGAGGGGACACATGTTGATGTAGAAGAGACATGAAGAAGAGGGGACACATGTTGATGTAGAAGAGACATGAAGAAGAGGGGACACATGTTGTGTAGAACGAGACATGAAGAAGAGGGGACACATGTGATGTAGAAAGAGGACATGAAGAAGAGGGGGACACATGTTGATGTAGAATAGAGGACATGAAGATAGAGGGACACATGTTGATGTAGAAGAGACACTGAAGAAGAGGGGACACATGTTGATGTAGAAGAGACATGAAGAAGAGGGGACACATGTTGATGTAGAAGAGACATGAAGAAGAGGGGACACATGTTGATGTAGAAGAGACATGAAGAAGAGGGGACACATGTTGATGTAGAAGAGACATGAGAAGAGGGACACATGTTGATGTAGAAGAGACATGAAGAAGAGGGGACCACATGTTGATGCTAGAAGAGACATGAAGAAGAGGGGACACATGTTGATGTAAGAAGAGACATGAAGAAGAGGGGACACATGTTGATGTAGAAGAGACATGGAAGAAGAGGGGACACATGTTGATGTAGAAGAGACATGAAGAAGAGACGGGGACACATGTTGATGTAGAAGAGACACGAAGAAGAGGGGACACATGTTGATGTAGAAGAGACATGAAGAAGAGGGGACACATGTTGATGTAGAAGAGACATGAAGAAGAGGGGGACACATGTTGATGTATAAGAGAAATGAAGAAGAGGGGACCCATGTTGATGTAGAAGATGACATGAAGAAGAGAGGGGACCCACCCTGTTGATGTAGAAGCGACATGAAGAAGAGGGGACACATGTTGATGCTAGAAGACGACCATGAAGAAGAGGGACACATGTTGATGTAGAAGAGACATGAAGAAGAGGGTGACACATGTGATGTAGAAGAGAGACATGAAGAAGAGGGGACAACATGTTGATGTAGAAGAGAACATGAAGAAGAGGGGGACACATGTTGATTGTAGAAGAGACATGAAGAAGAGGGACACATGTGATGTAGAAGAGACAGAAGAAGAGGGGACACATGTTGATGGAGAAGAGACATGAAGAAGAGGGGACACATGTTGATGTAGAAGAGACATGAAAGAAGAGGGGACACATGTTGATGTAGAGAGACATGAAGAAGAGGGGACACATGTTGATGTAGAAGAGACATGAAGAAGAGGGGACACATGTTGATGTAGAAGAGACATGAAGAAGAGGGGACACATGTTGATGTAGAAGAGACACTGAAGAAGAGGGGGACACATGTTGATGTAGAAGAGACATGAAGAAGAGGGGGACACATGTTGATGTAGAAGAGACATGAAGAAGAGGGGACACATGTTGATGTAGAAGAGACATGAAGAAGAGGGGACACATGTTGATGTAGAAGAGACCATGAAGAAGAGGGGACACATGTTGATGTAGAAGAGACATGAAGAAGAGGGGACACATGTTGATTGTAGAAGAGACATGAAGAAGAGGGGACACATGTTGATGTAGAAGAGACATGAAGAGGAATGAAGAGAGGAGACACATGTTGATGTAGAAGAGACATGAAGAAGAGGGGACACAGTGTTGATGTAGAAGAGGACATGAAGAAGAGGGGACACATGTTGATGTAAGAAGAGACATGAAGAAGAGGGGACACATGTTGATGTAGAAGAGACATGAAGAGAGGGGACACATTGTTGATGTAGAAGAGACATGAAGAAGAGGGGAACATGGTGATGTAGAAGAGACCATGAAGAAGAGGGGACACATGTTGATGTAGAAGAGACATGAAGAAGAGGGGACACGTGTTGATGTAGAATAGACATGACAAAGAGGGGACACTGTTGATGTAGAAGAAGAGACATGAAGATAGAGGGGACACATGTTGATGTAGAAGAGACATGAAGAAGAGGGGACACATGTTGATGTAGAAGAGACATGAAGAAGAGGGGACACATGTTTGATGTAGAAGAGACATGAAGAAGAGGGACACGTGTTGATGTAGAAGAGACATGAAGAAGAGGGGACACATGTTGATGTAGAAGAGACATGAAGAAGAGGGGACACAGTGTTTGATTGTAGAGAGAGACATGAAGAAGAGGGGACACATGTGATGTAGAAGAGACATGAAGAAGAGGGACACATGTTGATGTAGAAGAGACACGAAGAAGAGGGGACACGTGTTGATGTAGAAGAGACATGAGAAGAGGGGACACTGTTGATGTAGAGAGACATGAAGAAGAGGGGACACATGTTGATGTAGAAGAGACATGAAGAAGAGGGACACATGTTGATGTAGAAGAGACATGAAGAAGAGGGGCACACTGTTGATGTAGAAGAGACATGAAGAAGAGGGGACACGTGTTGATGTAGAAGAGACATGAAGAAGAGGGGACACGTGTTGATGTAGAAGAGACATGAAGAAGAGGGGACACATGTTGATGTAGAAAGACATGAAGAAGAGGGGACACATGTTGATGTAGAAGAGACATGAGGAAGAGGGGACACATGTTGATGTAGAAGAGATGAAGAAGAGGGGACACATGTTGATGTAGAAGAGACATGAAGAAGGAGGACACATGTTGATGTAGAAGAGACACGAGGAAGAGGGGACACATGTTGAGGTAGAAGAGACATGAAGAAGAGGGGACACATGTTGATGTAGAAGAGACATGAAGAAGAGGGGACACATGTTGATGTAGAAGAGACATGAAGAAGAGGGGACACATGTTGATGTAGAAGAGACATGAAGAAGAGGGGACATATGGTGATGTAGAGGAGACATGATGTAGAAGAGACATGAAGAAGAGGGGACACATGTTGATGTAGAAGAGACATGAAGAAGAGGGGACACATGTTGATGTAGAAGAGACATGAAGAAGAGGGGACACATGTTGATGTAGAAGAGACATGAAGAAGAGGGGACATATGTGATGTAGAAGAGACATGAAGAAGAGGGGACACATGTTGATGTAGAAGAGACATGAAGAAGAGGGGACATATGGTGATGTAGAAGAGACATGAAGAAGAGGGGACATATGGTGATGTAGAAGAGACATGAAGAAGAGGGGACACATGTTGATGAAGAAGAGACATGAAGAAGAGGGGACACATGTTGATGTAGAAGAGACATGAAGAAGAGGGGACACATGTTGATGTAGAAGAGACATGAAGAAGAGGGGACACATGTTGATGTAGAAGAGACATGAAGAAGAGGGGACACATGTTGATGTAGAAGAGACATGAAGAGAGGGACACATGAGAAGAGACAGAAGAGAGGGACACATGTTGATGTAGAAGAGACATGAAGAAGAGGGGACACATGTTGATGTAGAAGAGACATGAAGAAGAGGGGACACATGTTGATGTGGAAGAGACATGAAGAAGAGGATTTTGCACAACAGGTGACCTTTAAGTCTGTCTGCTGTCAATGAATATGTGCTGTGGCTTCAATGAGGCAGGATATGACATGAATGTCTAATGGACAGGGACAATGTGGACACAGCGGATGATCGATGGGAAGCGGCAAAGTTGTTTGACCCCAAGCTCTTGTGGTTACTTATTGAATGGAGGAAGTTTATGTTGATCTTTTATCTTTGTATGCAGCCCTCCTGGATCGCAATATAAGCAGCAGCCTTTTTTGTTTCATTTCAAATGAAACATCTCCAAAAGGAACTGCTTTTCAGTCAGCTCTCTGCATTCAGCTGATTTCTGTCCTCCGGGGAATTATCAGTGAAGTAGGTGGATGAAAGGATACACAATTAGACATAAATCAATCTAATTCAAAGTGAAACAAACACAAAGTTGCCTCCCAAATAATCTTAATAAGTCTGTTTTAGTATTTTTAAATGTATACACATTCATGCTGGGAGGAAAGTATGAGCTGTCCCTGTGTGTCGGCACATCTCTCTCTCTTTCTGCACACAGAAGAAAAGCGGTACAAAGTGCAGTTCAGGGGCAGCTGCATGTTTACACAGATATAAGCTACATAATACCTTACTGGTGACACTTACTTGAGCATACCGTTGTTCATGCCAGACACCATCTTATCAAAGGCCTGTTCTAGAGGCTTCTCGGAGCCTTTCTGATTCACCTGCAAAAAACAAGAAAACACTAATTGGCCTCTTCCACTCTGCTAGGGCATGAATGTCTACTACAGTCTTTGATTTAAAAGCTGCTGGTATCATCTGAAACGGCATGATCATGTTGCGTCAGCTTGTCGCAAAGAAGGCTAAATAACTTCATAATAAGTAAGGCTACATTTTAGCGTGGGAACAACTAGCATGGCCATATTTACAGGGTCCTCTTAACAGCTCACCTCAAGATATCTGATTGAAATGTTTTTCACATGCAGTATAAATATGTTGTTTTAGAATACTCCTGCATCTTAAAAATTGCACAAACTGGGTATCAATAGGAAAAAGAAACTTTTGTGGATCAATGAGCACAATTTGTATTCATGTGTGATGACATTAGTCTCTGTAGTAGTGAGAAACCTGACCTCGCTGCGTCACATGAGCAGTTGTGGGCTCTATGATAGTTATAGCCTCATGACATTTTACAGCCACAAACTACAGCCTGCGGGCATTCAGGGGATGCAAAGCTTTTACTAGATGTAACGACAAAAAGAGGGTTTCTAAACAGTTTTCAGAACAGAAGCTCTCACCATGCAATCCCCATGTTTTAGATTCTAAAGCACAGCATGTGGTTTTCTTGTATCCTACCAGAGGTCTGTAATGGGGAGGGATGGAGTGAAGACCTTAAACAAAACATGTATACAGGTTATTAACCATCCTCACCAGGTTCAGAAGGGTTTGCTTCCCATAGATAAGCAGCTGAGAGTCGAAATGCCTCTGGAAACCATCCATCTGTACAAAGTTTTCAAGAGTTTAGCATTGGATTTTTCCCACCACACCATTAAAAAGCACATGAAAACAGCTGCTCTTACGTGATTAGTGGTTTTGCTGATTATAGGTTTAGGTTTGTATTTCAGGTTGGGCCTCTGACTCCAGTAGAAGGGCATGGAGCCTCGAGTCTGGAGAGGGAAAAAATGTTTTGCCTTGAAAGGTCATTTCTGAAATCTTCTCAACTTCTTTAAATATCTGAACAAAGGGTGCACAGAAACGTGTGTTTATGAGCCCTCGTACTTGCCTGAATAAATGAAGCCTTTGCTCCCTCATACAAAACGATCTGCTCCGTCTCCACAAAGTTAGCAGCGTGGCCCTCAGAGTCGATGCCTGAGAGAGAGCAGCACAGAAAACATCCATGAGCAGTCAGTAGTCTCAGTACTGTGAGGTGTATAACCTTACCTTATATAGCTCAATTCCAATCTAGCCCCAACACTCTCTCCCTAGTACTACGTTTACACATTAGGGTTCCATTTCAAACCAACTAGTTGGGAGTTGGAGTTATTACACCCTCCAACAGGAAGATATTACGCCCGCCGACAGGAAGTCGTTACATCCTCCAACCCTCCAACAGGAAGATATTACGCCCGCCGACAGGAAGTCGTTGCATCCTCCAACCCTCCAACAGGAAGATATTACGCCCGCCGACAGGAAGTTATTAAAACCTCGGACAGGAAGTCGTTACACCCTCCGACAGGAAGTCGTTACACCCTCCGACAGGAAGTCGTTACACCCTCCGACAGGAAGTCGTTATACCTTTTAAGCGGAGGTTGTTAAACCTTCCTACAGGAAATAATTAAACCCTCAAACAGGAAGCTATTAAACCCTTGGGCAGGAGATCATTACACCCTCCAACAGGAAGTTGTTATACCCAACAGGATGTTATTAAACCCAATAGGAAGTTATTAAACCCTTCAGAAGGAAAAACGATAGAAGTTTATTGTGAAGTTTTGTATATTTACAGGAACTTTTGCAATCTAGACGCAGCTCATAAACATCAGATTTAAAAACAAGAAGATGTTTACTACAAAAAGAAATACCACTTTTTTAAATTAATTAAATTATTATTTTTCATCCAAGAGATGCCGACTTAAAATAACGGTTACGAAAAGATTCCACCTTTCCCCTTTCCTTGCGGCTGTTTTTACACCCTCTGTCTTAAAGAGGTAGCCTCATTCAGCTGAGAGTGAGACTAAGGACAGAGTTCACCCTAGGGGATGGATTGGAATTGGGCCTGAGTTGGCAGCTGCTACTTTGCACTCTGTAATGGTCAATAAGCCCAAATCCACAAGGCTTGGTGCAGTACAGCAGACATTTTTACCTCTGACGTAGTATCTGACGCCGGCCCGGAAGCAGCTTCTCCTGGAGATGAGGATCCACTCGAAGATCTTCCCGTTGATTCGACACGGCTTCATGACGATGACTGGAACAGGACGGTTAAGGAAAGGCTTGGCACAGGTATGCGTCTGATCTTATCTGCAGTCATGCTCCATTAGAAAATGTTTAACTCAGTGAAAAGGATACATCCATGGACAACAGGAAGTGCAAACTTGTGAAGCTGTGGAGAAGTGGGTACGATTATTATCATTCATTAAATGAGTACAAAAACATTGAGTGAGAAAGCGAAGTGGTACCTCAGGCTGCGCAGCCAGTTCTCTCAGGAGGTTCCCGTTCCACACAAACCTCTGATCTGCCTGAGAACCACAACATCGTCATCAATTAACTGCAAGAATGTATAGTAACATTTATAATTACTAAGAATTGTGAATAATATGAAAATAAACAAATGTATTGTCACGTATATGTTTGAAAAAAAGTATACATAGAAGAATCCTCTACAATATGACCTGCTGCAATGTTTGTAAACAAAACAAAAAGTTGTATTATTGACATATCGCTAGAAAAGACAAAAAACACTAAAAGTATGAGTAGTGAAGTGAGACAAATGTACAATATTTTTTAAAGCTTTAGTGCAAAATGAACATAACAGTTTCAAGTCAAATTAAAGATAAGAAATAAACATTTCTGGAAATACATTACATGTCATTTTTTTTTACAATGAATGTTTCAATGCATGCACATAAATACTGAGTAATAAGATTAAGACTATAGTTTTTATTAACGGGGCCCTTTAAGGTTCAAGGTTCAAGGTTTTTATTTTGTCATACGAATATAGTGTAGTTATGACGATGAAAATCTTCAGGTTTCAGGTTCATCTTGATTGGTTAGCTCGCCGGCTCTGTTGGGATTGGTCAACCACTTATGGCGCATTTCCACTACAGCGCGGTTTAAGCGTGGCGTGCCCGGCCCGTTTTTGGTTGCGTTTCCACTAGGCGTAGTTCCGGCTAACGGGTACTTTTTCACAGTTTTTCTGGCTCTCCAAAATCCAGGTTCTTTCCGGGCCAACAACCAGGCTGAGTCGGGCTGAGTATGCTAAACTAGAGAGAGAATCGCTGGCAAGGGGCTACAACTACAACAAGATGAACATATTTGACCGTGATTTAATTGTAATACACGTTTCAAAATTATGCCGAAGTAACAACATACTGATACCGGTTAGTAAAAACCATGAATTAATGCTTTGACAAGTCTGCAGACAGACGGCAGACGAACAACTTTTTTAAATGCGTGTTTTCTGAATGGAGATCGGCTAAGCTAACGTTATATATGCTCCGACCGTCAACACTCACAACAACGGCCTATACAGACATAAATAAACCAGCGACTGTATTCGCCATGACACAGGCAGTCTGTGGTTTGTACTTGTTTCACTTTTGTCTAGTTTCTGAACAGATATGAGGAGCTGTGAGCTCTGAGTGCTAAGAGCTAACGGCTGATGTTGGTTTTGTGTTTCGCATTGAAGATGATGTTACGGCTCCGCCTACACTGCGTTACTATGGTTACTGCCCCAGCTACTAAACTGTAATGGAAATGCAGCATAAAGTGAGCCTGGCCTAACAAGACCTAACGAGGCCTAGCCATACCGTACTAAGCCGAGCGAGGCCCTGCAGTGGAAATGCGCCAATAGAGATCTCCCGCCCCTTAGCCTATCACATACAATGTGTTGGAGTGCTAGCCAATAGAATCACGAGTGCTCTAATGTGATGTACTATGTTACCGTAGTAAATAAATGAGTTTCAGGCAGGGGGGGACCACTTACATGCACACAAACCTATAGAACACACTACAGGGAAGGGAACACCCCAAAAAGCATAAAAGGGCCTCTTTAACTGGAGTCCATCTTGTTAATGCCATTGAGGTGAGTGATCATGTAAAGCAGGGCTCGACATTAAGGATGGCCCGGGGCCATCTAGTATTTAGCTCGGGCAATGAAGCCTCACCTGCTGGTTGCCCGATCGGGCAATGAAGCCTCACCTGCTGGTTGCCCGATCGGGCAATGAAGCCTCACCTGCTGGTTGCCCGATCGGGCAATGAAGCCTCACCTGCTGGTTGCCCGATCGGGCAATGAAGCCTCACCTGCTGGTTGCCCGATCGGGCAATCTATTATGCCAGTATCATGCAGCTCGCGGATCCAGTAATGAGTGAGCCGACAGTAAAACTAAACATATCTATAACTAGTTAGGTAGTTTGAGAGGTCATTAAAATAGCTACGTGTGATATTCTAACCTGAAGTGTATGTTTTGTTCCGCTCACCGCTGCATGTGAGCATGCAGAGCTGCGTGTCGACTCGTCAGCAGCAGCTGATCTCTCTCTCTCCCGTCAGATTAGACTTCACTCGCGTTTATGTCCATATGCGATCAGATCCAGCTAGTTCTAGCTAATGATATGACTACCTGCTTATTAAAAGACACCTAACAATAAGTGTCGCTATGCCACTGGGTGAGGCCACAAAGTATAGCACAGCATTATTCATTTGTTTACATGCCCACCGGAACCTCGAGGCATTACCAACAGATCAACGCACAATCAACCCATACAGGACATCTCTTTCTCCACATTAAGTGTTAGATGGACTATTCATGTCTGTCACATACTTTCTTGTCTGTCACATACTCTTCTTGTCTGTCACATAAGTGGCGCAACTGAAGCGGTATTGCTGCTAAAGGGAAATTATTTTGACCGGACCTTTTGACCGAAGAGATTTAGATTTGCCGGCTAACGGGAACTCTGACGTTGCCATTTTGTGTGCTTGGCGGATGCGCTCGGCTCCTCTCGACTGCTGCTCGGGTCTGCTCGGTCAGCTTCCGGATGAGGAGGCATTCGACCAACTTACAGTAGATAACATTACAAACATTTTTAACAGGGGCCATAATAGTGTAAATAATGTTTGTTTTGGCAGTTATAACTGAATGTAATGTTTTCTACTCTTTTTACATCTGGGAAGCCATTTGCCTTCATCAGATGGAAAGTGTCTTGACCAACAACTTAAGTATTTCTTATAGCTATGCAGGGCATGCAAGCGAGCAAACACAAACAAGAACAAACAAAAAAGTGAAATGAAGAAATTGAACAATATTATATTGTGGTGGTTCATCTTATAATTCAGTCTAGAGAATGCACCAGACAGCATCTAAGACCTGCAACAATCTAAATGTTCTAGGGGGAGGCCCCCCAAACCCTTCGTACGTCATTTCGTCCGTGTGCATCTTTCAGGGCAATCTCTATTGGGCTCAGGGCCATCTGTAAATTAGCTTAGATGGCCCACAGGGCCATCTCCCAAAATCCTTAATGTCATGCACTGTAAAGTCAGTAATAGAAAGTAACTCAAGTACATCTACTCAAGTATTATACGAGGTCTTATTTTTGAAATATCAGTCTTTGTGACTTATTTACATAAATATAGTGGTGCCTTCTGTGAGGCAGTGTGTTGTGTGTCTCACCCTCTCCAGCAGACTCATCTCCTGGAAGTCGGGGCTGGTGTTGGAGAGCCTCTGCAGTGTGTGTGTCAGGTCGTAGTCGGTGCAGAAGTAGAAGCCGTCTGTAGTCAGCACATTATTAATCATGGACAGGAAGGTCTTGTTCTCCTGAGACTGGAGGAGGAAAGGAAACAGACTTTTAGCTTTCAGGAAAACTGCACACTCGTGTGTTTTTACTGCTGCCCGTGTGACACAGGGATGCACCACCCAACAGTTTTCTCCCCCAACACCTCTAGCCAAGGCCAAGACCAGCTTTCTCTTTACGCACAATCAAATCTGTAAACGTCAATGCATTGGACCACCTTCGCCAGTTAACATGAAGCCTAGGACTGCCTTTGCTTACAGATAAAACATCAAGTTGAAAGTAGCTACTGTTGAGGGATAAACCTGTTAAGTGTGGGTGCCATTAGAGTAGGGGGGTCAAACTCAAATACACAGTGGGCCAAAATAAATGGGTACTAGTCGAGGGCTGGACTGGTTCAATGTTTATTGCAAAACTTGTTGAAATGAAATTATTGCACATATTAAACCTGGAACTAACAAAGCTTAAATTATTGCCAATAAAAACAATAAACATTAAATAATCAGTTGCATTCATTTCTTATGGCTCTATCTGCAGCTTTTCCAGACTCATTTCTTATGAGTACATTTTCCCACAGGCCAACAACAGCTTCAACAAAACTATTCCCCTCAGAGAGAAAAACCAAACATGCCCTGCTGTCGTGAGAGAGAAAGTGCAGAAGGAAGCATCCATGAAACTCAGTGTGCTGCTCTGTGATGCTAGCTCAAGCAGATACTTGGCATCTCATCTCGGGTGCAAGGCCATCACTGTTTGGGCTCAGGCTCTGAGCTGAGGAGACCCTCAGGATGGAGTGAAGGTGTGCGTGCAATATACCGGCGGGCCAGGTCTAATAGTAATTACAAATGATCCTGCGGGCCGAAATTAAATCCACCACGGGCCTGATTTGCATCAGTCAGCATCAGAGCTGACTTTTATTCTTTTCCAGCTTTGTGCATCTCTGCCTGGCTAATAGGATCGGGCAGCTAAGCCAGTTAGCATGTCTAACTCCCTCCACCTGCTTTCTTACTTTCCTCTCACCAGAGCAGCTCTTATACAGTGATTGTGCTTTAAACTAGTTTGTACTTGCTTCTCTAATGTACTACCAGCAACAGTCCAGTGTTTGCCATTGTAAGCTCTACACTGCATACAGAGTCTTATCGGGGTAGCTAGAAAGCTTCAATAAACCAAGATTAGAATGAATAATGCACTGACATGCGATAGCACAGTGTGATTCCAGACAGCAAAGAATAACTGATCCTGTAACACAAGGTCTTACACAGAGGGTCTGGAAGAGGTCCAGTCCACTATCAAACAGTACCTGTGACAGTGTGCATATCATACTATCGTAGGATATTGTAAGATCATTTAAGTTCCATTATGACTGCCAGTGGTCCCAAAATATAGCAATTTCAAATCTGTCAGAAGAGTGTCAAAAGACCAACATATAGGTATTGGCTTTTCAATTCAGAGAAAGCTCCATTGGGATTTAATGTGTAGAACATGTATTAGCAATGCTCATTAAAATAACTGAAATAATGTCCTCTGTATTGAGGGCTCAGTTTGAACTAAAAGGAACTATTTTAGTCAAATGTGATCATATGCATATATAGAAAACCTTTCCCAACACCACAACCAACATTAGTTTGAAGTGAATCTGTGTCTAATGTATCACAGGTGTCTTTTCTAAGGAGTGGTTGTCAGACGTTGAGTGAGTCCTGCTGACCTGGATCTCTGAGAGATGCAGCACTGTCTTCTTGTAGGAGATCACGTCAAGTCCACAGCCTTCCACACAGAGTGGCCCAGCAGGCTGCCCACATTCCTCTTCCTGGTGATGACGATCAGGTACATCCCTGGGGGGGGGGGGGGTCACTGGTTAGCTGTTCAGGCTTGAGAAGAAACACAAACGCTGCATCACTGTGGTACCTACCTGCTACCAGACGGATGGTTCCCATGATGCCGCATATAGGCCTGGTGACCGCAGAGGGGGGGACATCTTCTTGCCTGTGAAAAGCAGCACAATGGGAGAACGCTAGATATAGACACTTCGCATTACATTTATATTCTCAGAAGGGGAACTGTTTGGAGTTTCCCCTCTCCTGTAGTGTGTTACAGTATAGGATATCTCTCCTCAAATGTTATGTTTTGTCCACAACTCGAAGATATGAATTTGACAGTCATAGAGGAGTAAATAAACCAGAAAAGACTCAAGTTTAAGAACCTGTAAATAGAGATGTTTTTCAATTGCTTTTTCTTAAAGAATTACTTCAAGCGATTTATTGATTATCCAAACAGTTCTTTGAGATTCTTTGAAGAGTAAACAAAGAATCAATGAATCTCTATTGAGGAGAATTCTGTTGAGGATCATTCCGCTTCAGTTGTTACCTTCTTTGTTCTTAAAAGCTGTCCCAAATGATGGCTAGCTGTAAGGTCAATTGTTCCATTTCGTATATGGCTTCGCCCTCTAAGGCTATCGCTATTGGGTAATCCCCCGGCGCACCCACACAGCACTGAAACACTTGTAGTCCACGCCCCGCCCACAAGGTGGGCCCCACCCTCGGGCTCCCTTCCGGTATAAATAAATAGGAAGGAGGCCCCGGACAATCTGCTCCCTCTTTTCTTCAGCACCCCGTTACTGAAGCACAAGAGACACCTCAATTGCAGAGTAAACATGAGTAACAATTGTGTGAGATATTGTCCCTCATGTGGCTCTGAGTTCATAATGAGTTATGACCAGCACACAGTATGCAATCTGCCTGGGGTCAGAGCACGCGTACGCAGCTCTAAAGCAGCAGGTAGCATGCACCCAATGTCGCCCGTCTCCCCTCGGGCGACAGGAAGCGGAGAGCGGACGCTCTTGCTGCTGCGGCCGAGGAGGACGATTGGCCCGTCCAGGCTTACGAGCCCGCGGACGGGGGCCGAGTGCCGGGCAGAAGTCCGACAACTCCTGCCCCGCCTCCCTCCTGGTTCACCGTTGGTTCTCTCCCCTCCTCTTCTCCCCCGGACGGGGATGACAGAGTCGGAGCAGGGTTGCAAGCTTGGCGGCCGAACACGCGGTCCCTTCTCCGTCACCACAGCGCTACCGGCGATAGGTGGCAGATCATACGCAAGGCGGCCGCCTGCAGAGATCTCCCCGTTCCCCTAGCTCAGGAGAGGTTGTGCTCCGTAACGACATAACCCGGGAGTTTTTTTTCGGGCGGGTGCAGACGGTCAGGAGTGACCCGATCTAGCCACGCTTCCCGGCCATCAGGAGGTACCAGGAGGGGGCGGCGGCGAACCGAGGACCCTGAAGGCTCCCGGTGGCCACATTGTTTCCCCTCACCAAGGTGGAGGGGTTTCACAGATGCTGGTTTCCCAGCCGCCCCTTCTCTGGAGCCGAGCCTGACGGCATTTTTGGGGTAAGACAGGGCAAACATGATAGCCGGACGGCGCCCTACGTTGAGCTCCCCCAGAAACCAGTATGTCACCCGCCAGGCCGACCGGGTGCACCAGTGTGCCTTTCAGGCGTCGGCGGCGGCGAATAACATCGCGCTGCTCTCCAACTCGGTGGTGACGCTGGTAGAGCGGTCCACCAACTTGGCCGCTGACAAGGCGGCCAGCACGGCGCTCACTCTGTGCGCGTCCGTCGCTGTCTCCCAGGCGAGGATCCCTGACTTCACCTGATCACCTGACTTCGTGGGTGACACAGATCCAGCGCCACCGATCCAGCGCCACCTCTGGCTGCAGCAGGCGTCTGTTACGGAGACGGCCAGAAAAAGTGCTACTGGACGCTCCAATCAGCCCGGACGGGCTGTTCGGACCCCCAGTTGCAACGCCATGGTGGAGTCCATGAAGACGGCCGCGGAACAGGCGGACGACATTCGCCAGCACGTCAGCTGGCTCCAGCCTGCTGAGCTGCCACAGCGGCACCAACGCCCGCAGCAGCCGCGGCGTCCACACCGGCCACAGCAGGCGCAAGCGGAGAGAAGCCCACAGCAACCGCGGCATCAGGCTCGCCCTTCAGCAGCTGCAGGTCGAAGGGGAGAGAGGCACCCCCGCTCCTGGTCAGCTCCGCGAGAGCCTCCGAGGAAGCAGAGCCGTTTGACGTTTTGGGGGTTGTGAGGAAAATAAAGTTTCCCTCACAACCAAGCTGGGTAAGTAGGTAACTTCAGTTCTGATGTATTGTGAGAAAAGAAACGATGGCATGTCTAGCAAACACATGTGGAGAGAGAGACAACAACGCTCAACAGCCTCAATTGAAAAGGTGGTGAGAGCTCTAAATCTCTCTGCTTGTGTTTCAACCACAGCTGAAAGCGTTCTGTGTTTGTCGTGACAGTGAAGCACGATCATTAAACTTCTTACCTGTGAGGGGTCATCTCATTGGAGACCCTGTCGATGGCCAGCACAGCATCAGCCCCCTCATCACAGGCCTCGATGTAGAACTTCTCTGGGGTCGTGTGCCTGGGAGAGAAGGGCATACAGTTCAGGTTTGACCCAATGGTTGATAGTACAGCTGGTCAGAGGGTTAGTCAGGTTCAATAGCATCACAAACGTGCTAAAGAGAAAGCTTTAGGATGATAAAGTTCTCCTGCTTCAAAACAAATGCCACCTGCTAATGTGACCAACGATGAAAGACGCATGACTCTTCTGCGTCGCAAAATATCAAATGAAAGACCAATTAATAAGTCCTAGGAAATGTCTAACAGAAGAGGATAGCATTGTCAATTCTAACGTTTAGATGTTTTCAACTCAAGCACCGAAGGAACCTGGTAGTCTTTACCTATTTCCAACATTCTACAAATACACTCGCTCCTAGTTTTCCTATTTCCTTCCTTTTCATTTGTCATGATACATTTGTATGCTATAATGGTCATTTCCACAGCAGTAATTCCATCAGTACATCAGACGCAGGTTGTGCTAAAAACAAGTTTCTCTTTTAATAAAAATAGTGTTTGCATGTATTATTCCATGTTGCTTCACTGCCTTTTTAATTGCTTTCAGCTACTGCCAATGACACTCAACACAAAGTAAAACATCAGGATGGTGGTGTTTATTTTGCAGTGCTAAAAGAACTGCAAAGTGGGAGTTGAATTCATTTGTGAATAAACTGTATAGCCAACAAATGACTCCCAAACTATTCCTGAAGTGCAATGCAATGACCCTCCACATGCTTCCCTCTCCGTGACCAGGGCACAACTGGAGTCTCAAAGCCATGGGAGCTGTGAAATAGAAAGAAACCAACCTATAGATGGAATGTTAAGGACCTAGAAACGGCTGTTAACACCAGGATTAACCTCCAGCCCTCCAAACATCACATCCATCCAGCTGAGATGGTGTGGAGCAGTTTACAAAGGAACTGAGAGCAGTTTACAAAGGAACTGAGAGCAGTTTACAAGGAAGGATCCTAACAGAGGAAGGTTCATTGGAAGCAAGGTGTTTCTATAAAATGCCGAGCAGAATGAAATCAAAATGTTATACTGTTTTTTGAAAATTGGACGCAGCCTTGATTCTGGAAGTATTTCATTGAACTATATGGTTTTTCCTAGAGGGGAAACATTACATATTAAACTCACACGAGCCTATGAAAAGTCCAGCAATGATCTCTTTGCAAAGTGGTCTGAGATGCCTACCATCTACAGTCCCAGTATCATTCAAGGAAGGCACCTTTTGCGATGGTATCCTGCCTCTTCCTCATTCCCTAAGTTCCTGTCTGTTTCTACTGTCAAAACAAAAACAGAAAGCCTGAATGACCCAAAAAAAAACTGCTTCCCTCTAAAGTACTCATTAGAGGTTTCTCAATACTCAAATTTCCCCTCCTCGACTCCTCGGTCCTCCGGTAGTGACCCGGAAATTAATTTCAGCACGCCATTTTGAAGGACATCTAATTTCTCTAAATGCACACCGAGGGATCGAGCGTCGAGGAGCTCTAAACCGAGGAAACACTGACGGCTCCTCCACGGATGCATTTCCGGGAACGGTGGAGGCGTGACGCACGGCCGGACTTATCTCAGCCAATGACAGCTCTGCAGCATCCCCTGGATATTATTTTATTAACTGCTTTCGTGAGAACAGCTGTGAGTTCCGTGCAGAAAGCAGAGCAGTGTGTAGGCCTATAATATATATCACTCGTATAACAGGCCTACTCTCTTTATTTGCTTTAGTTTAGTAGATATCTACAAACAAAGAGTCAATATTTTTCTAAGACCATTTAGTGCTTCACATAATAAGATACACAACGGCTGTAGCCTGAAAGTTTAGGAGCTGTAGGTGTGTGTGGTACAGTGTGTAGGTGTGTGTGTGGTACAGTGTGTAGGTGTGTGGTGTGTGTTTACAAGTGTGGTAGGTGTCGTGTGGTACAGTGTGTAAGTGCGTGTGTGTAACAGTGTGGTAGGTTGGGTGTGGTGGTAACAGTGTGTAGGTGTGTGTTGTAATGGTACAGTGTGTAGGTGTGTGGGGTACAGGTGTGTAGGTGTGTGTGGGTGGGTGTGGTACAGTGTGTAGGTGGTGTGTGGTACAGTGTGTAGGTGTGTGTGTGGTACAGTGTGTAGGTGTGTGTGGTACAGTGTGTAGGTGTGTGTGTGGTACAGTGTGTAGGTGTGTGTGTGGTACAGTGTGTAGGTGTGTGTGGTACAGTGTGTAGGTGTGTGTGGTACAGTGTGTGTGTGTGTGTGGTACAGTGTGTAGGTGTGTGTGTGTGGTACAGTGTGTAGGTGTGTGTGTGGTACAGTGTGTAGGTGCGTGTGGTACAGTGTGTAAGTGCGTGTGGTACAGTGTGTAGGTGTGTGTGTGTGGTACAGTGTGTAGGTGTGTGTGTGGTACAGTGTGTAGGTGTGTGTGTGGTACAGTGTGTAGGTGTGTGTGGTACAGTGTGTAGGTGTGTGTGTGTGTGGTACAGTGTGTAGGTGTGTGTGTGGTACAGTGTGTAGGTGTGTGTGTGTACAGTGTGTAGGTGTGTGTGTGGTACAGTGTGTAGGTGTGTGTGTGGTACAGTGTGTAGTGTGTGTGTGTGGTACAGTGTGTAGGTGTGTGTTGGTACAGTGTGTAGGTGTGTGTGTGTGGTACAGTGTGTAGGTGTGTGTGTGGTGCAGTGTGTAGGTGTGTGGTACAGTGTGTAGGTGTGTGTGTGTGGTACAGTGTGTAGGTGTGTGTGTGGTAGTGTGTAGGTGCGTGTGGTACAGTGTGTAAGTGCGTGTGGTACAGTGTGTAGTGCGTGTGGTACAGTGTGTAGGTGTGTGTGTGTACAGTGTGTAGGTGTGTGTGTATGGTACAGTGTGTAGGTGTGTGTGTGTGGTACAGTGTGTAGGTGCGTGTGGTACAGTGTGTAAGTGCGTGTGGTACAGTGTGTAGTGTGTGTGTGGTACAGTGTGTAGGTGTGTGTATGGTACAGTGTGTAGGTGTGTGTGGTACAGTGTGTAGGTGTGTGTGTGTGGTACAGTGTGTAGGTGTGTGTGGTACAGTGTGTAGGTGTGTGTGTGTGGTACAGTGTGTAGGTGTGTGTGTGGTACAGTGTGTAGGTGTGTGTGGTACAGTGTGTAGGTGTGTGTGTGTGGTACAGTGTGTAGGTGTGTGTGTGGTACAGTGTGTAGGTGTGTGTGTGGTACAGTGTGTAGGTGTGTGTGGTACAGTGTGTGTGTGTGTGTGGTACAGTGTGTAGGTGTGTGTGTGTGGTACAGTGTGTAGGTGTGTGTGTGGTACAGTGTGTAGGTGGTGTGTGTACAGTGTGTAGTGGTGTGGTACAGTGTGTAGGTGTGTGTGTGGTACAGTGTGTAGTGTGTGTGGTACAGTGTGTAGGTGTGTGTGTGTGGTACAGTGTGTAGTGTGTGTGGTACAGTGTGTAGGTGTGTGTGTGTGGTACAGTGTGTAGGTGTGTGTGGTACAGTGTGTAGGTGTGTGTGGTACAGTGTGTAGGTGTGTGTGGTACAGTGTGTAGGTGTGTGTGTGGTACAGTGTGTAGGTGTGTGTTGTACAGTGTGTAGGTGTGTGTGTGGTACAGTGTGTAGGTGTGTGTGTGGTGCAGTGTGTAGGTGTGTGGTACAGTGTGTAGGTGTGTGTGTGTGTACAGTGGTAGGTGTGTGTGTGTGGTACAGTGTGTAGGTGTGTGTGGTACAGTGTGTAGTGTGTGTGTGTGGTACAGTGTGTAGGTGTGTGTGTGTGGTACAGTGTGTAGGTGTGTGTGTGTGGTACAGTGTGTAGGTGTGTGTGTGGTACAGTGTGTAGTGTGTGTGTGGTACAGTGTGTAGGTGTGTGTGGTACAGTGTGTAGGTGTGTGTGGTACAGTGTGTAGGTGTGTGTTGTACAGTGTGTAGGTGTGTGTGTGGTACAGTGTGTAGGTGTGTGTTGTACAGTGTAGTGTGTGTGTGGTACAGTGTGTAGGTGTGTGTGTACAGTGTGTAGGTGTGTGTGTGGTACAGTGTGTAGGTGTGTGTGTAGTGTGTGTGTGTGTGGTACAGTGTGTAGGTGTGTGGTGTGGTACAGTGTGTAGGTGTTGTGGTACAGGTGGGTAGGTGTTGTGTGTGTG